TTGGAGAGATGTTGGTGAGGTGCTGGACCCAGTGCCTGGCTTGAGTATGTTCCAGGCAAACATTCGCTGCCCACCCCAGGTCGGACATGGGAGCAGGAACACGACATATACAGGTTTCAGTGTGGGCTAGGATCACGGAAGTGAGGCATCTTCCCGGGTCCTCTTGAAGGACAGGTGGTCTGTGGACACACCTGAACCCTGAGGCTGCCCTGGGTACTGCATTTCCGGAGCTCCCGGAGAAGACCAGGGCTGAGCCCTGGGGGTCTTCCTGCTTTGGCTGCAGTGTCAGTTGCTGCAGATGGGCATCACAGGCCATCCTGTCTGCAGAGGCAGCGAGAGCAAGATGAGAGGCTTTCTGTACCCACAGCGACAGTGTAGCCTGGTGCGCTAGATCTGTGTGCTGCGTGTTCCAGTTTGGGACTGACAAACTGCAGCTTTAGCATATGCTGTCTTATAATCACTTTCTGATTTATTATTCTAGTGGGAGGTTTTATGTTCCATTTAAAAAAGGTTGGGGGCCGGCTTGGCATATATTTTGGGGAAACTCCCATCTTGATATCTTTTTTCATTCAGAACACCTTTTAATTGTAGATTTGGATGCCAGAGGAAATGATCTTTTGCGTGTGTCTGTTGAGAATTGTGTTATCTTTTATTCAGAGAACTGAAAGCAGTTAATGTGGACCACCTTGTTACTGCTCTCCAAGTGCCTGATTTAGTGTGCAGTGGTGTACCAGGCTGCCAGACTCGTTAGCTTGGTGGATGAGTGTAACAGGCCCTGAAAGATGAAGAACTGACTTTTGGACCTTTAGGTGCCTGTGTCCTTGCCTCACAGTGTCACCTGTGATGGACTGGTGTGACTGCTGTTGGAGATGTCAGTTTAAACCCAGCACTACATCGGTGTGACACTCAGACACCAGGCTGTGGCTCCAGCCCCACCCCTCTGCTTGATCAGAGGTGAAGCAGGTCTTGGAAAAGCTTTGAGTTGCGTGGGGACAGGTGGGACAGATCTTTGGGTGCTCCAGCAGCATCAGGAGTCCGCCTGCGTCTGCTGTCATCCTCCCCCTGTGCTTAGGAGCTGACTGTGGCACTGTTGGCTTGGCTTGGTAGAAATGAGGCTCATGAATACAAGACACACTTTTTGATCTGTAGACACACCCCCACATGCAGTCAGAATAGCCTTGCATTGTGGGACAGACAGAGTCACCAGATGCATTTAAACAGAGGAACCTGACTTACATACAGCAACAGTGCGGGAGACAAAATGTAAAACCACAAGCTTGGTTTCAAATAGTGGAGTGAGGTGGGGTGGAGAAAGGACATCTTATTCCCAAAGTGATTATAAATAAAGTGATATTTTTATAAAAACTCAATCAATTTCCTGAGGTCCCGGGAAGATGCCAAGATTCTACTCTGTTATCAGTGGTGCTATTAATAGCACAAAAGAAAACCAGGGTTTATTATAAGCTTTCCAAAACATGTTTTATTTCCCAATAAAAATAAGTCAAGGTTCAGAAATGTGAAGCTTTGATATTATCAGCAATATTTTTATCCTTTTCCCTTAAAAAACAAAGCTTCATTGCCTTTTCTGAAAAAAACTGATCTGTGTTTTCAATGCTGGGGATCAAACCCAGAGCCTGAAGTATGCTAAGTGTGTGCTTTGTCACTGAGCTGTACCCGCAGCTCCAGCATTTGAATTTTAAAATTAAAATTTGTGTGCTCTTAAAAAAAAGTGGACCCTCAGTGTAGCTAATTTAATCAGCCAAAAGAAACAGCGCTGTGAAATAGATCAGTGCTTAGGGTAGAACTCTTTGTTTCTGAGCACTTCTCTCTGCACAGAAACACACCTGAAAGGGGGGTCAGATGACCAGCCTGCATGTGCCCACTCCTCACAGACTCAGCCCCTACCCGTGCCCAGTCTCGCTCTCTTTGGGAAGATCTTGCTTTATTTCCTCCTCCTCTTCAGAATCTCCCACCTTCCCAGTTTGTCCCCCACCCTTCCTTCCCCCACTGGAGCCATGATGGAGTATGAGGTTGTAGAGTAGCAGAGCAGGGCTGGAGCGAGTGGGTGGCTGCAGCTCAGCTTGGCCCAGAGGTCCACAGGGTGAAGTGGGCCCTTGAGAGCCCTGGCCAGCTTGACCTTGCTGTTAGAAATCACATTACTTAGGTCAGGAAGGTTTAGGGTTCAGGAAACATCTGGACCAGCCTAGGAACATGAAGCCCCTTCCAGGGCTGTGCCTGTGCTCCTTGGGACCTGCCCAGCTCCTCATATTCTGGCCTGCCTTCCTTTCCTCCCTCTGGGCCGTGCTCCGTGCTCCTGCAGCAGGGGCATCTGATCTCAGACCCTGCTAGGTGTCGCCACATGGCCTCTCCACAGTCTTCTGCATGAAGTCTGAATTCCTTAGTCCGAGTCCTGCTCAGGACAGCTCCTGGGAGCTGTAACCTGTATCCTCTTTTGCTGGAACACAGCCAGGATAGTTGGTTTTATTTGGCCACGAGACAGAACCACGTGTGGCAGGCAGGGTGGCCTAGGCACTGTTGGACATGGTCCTGTGGGCCTACCCCTCGGGGAGCAAGGCTTTTGCCAGCAAGACGTCTGACAGCGGCTGTCCAGCCCCATGAGGCTGGAGATGACTCCATCACCTCATCTATCTTGGGTAGCCAGGCCATATTCTGGCCTCAGTGTGGCCACCCTGGATAGTTGTTAAATGAGTGTGTGAGCCTTTATCTGGGCTGAGGCATGTGTGTGAGTGTGAGAGAGGAGACTCAGGAGAGCAGAGGGAATTGCTTGCTGCCTTTTGGCTGAATCTGTTGTCTTTGCTGCTACATTAATTAAAAAATTATTAAATTAAAAAATTACTGAGGCAAGGTTTTCATAACAAAATTAACCATTTGAAAATGAACAATTCATTGACATTTAACACATTCACAATGTTCTGCAGTCACCAACTCCATCTGGTTCGAAAACATTTGAATCACCCCCAAAGGTGTCATATACCCGGGAAGCAGTTGTTGCTGCAGCAACTGAGACCGTGGAGGGGAGGGCAGTGTGAGCCGGGTAGCTCTGTGCCAGACCTGTGTGCACCGAGCGCCATTCCGGGGATTCATCCTGAGCATGTGCTGCCCTTGGCCTCGCAGTGGTTTGAGTGCTGCTATGAGAGGGTGTGGAGTATACCACCCATTATAGGAATTTTACTTAGCTGGAAATAGGTAGCATCTAGTTTTACGAAGTGCTGTCACAAACCAATCGGTTTGTGTAAAAAGTAGAAAGCCCACAGCTTAGCTGGGTGTAGTGGCATTATCACAGCAATGGGAAGACTGAGGCAGGAGAACCACTGGGGGTTCTAGGCCAGCCTGGCTACATAGTAAGAATCCTGTCTCAAACCCTCTGCTGCCACCAATAAAAAAGCAGAATGTTACTCTCTGAATGGGGTACTATAATATAACGGTCTCTGTCTCTTTTTCCATTTGGCAGCCTGGAGATAAAGCTAGGACCTCATGCACGCCAGGCCAGCACCTTGTCACTGGGCCACGTTCCCATCCTTTTGATGAACATTTAGGTTGTCCCTAGGTAATCAGGGTTTCATGTAGCACTGGCGATCACTGGCTGAGTGTGTATGCAGTGGGCACGCGTGGGTGTGGAGGACACAGCTCTGTGCAGAGTGCTGTGGGGCCCAGGAAGACTCAACCCCACACCGTGCTCCCTGTGGCTCCTTCACCAGGGATGGCCCCATGTGCTGGTCCCCGCCAGACCCATCTTCTAAAGCCCCCGTCTCTGCCAAAAAATGTTTGTATTTTAATTGTTATGTCGGTAATTTTAAATGATGTGAGGCAGCATTTCACGTGTTCATTGTGTATTTTCATTTTTCTTTTGTGAATTGCCTATTCTTGGCCTGGGTACATTTCCTTGAGCTTCTTTATCTTTATTATTGATTTGCGGTGCACTTTGTGAATTATTGGTACAGACCTTTTTTCTGTATTTTTCTAATTTTTAGTGTATCTCACAGTGCTGGAATTTAAACCTTTTCAGTATGCTTTGTTTTTGCCTGTGTTTTTGACACGTAGCTGTGTTGCCATTGTGTACGGTTAACTAAATATTACATATGCAATTTTTACATTACAAATTCCCTGTAAAAAACATTCTTCTTACAGTATTTTGGGCATAAGTAGTCTGTAGTTAGGTACTTGTGGTTATACTTAATCAGTGATGACTTTATTTGGGTTAAAGTCCTTCCCATTCTTGAGGACAGATTCCTGGGAATGGAAGCATTTGGTGAGAGTAAAAATATTTTGAAGTTCTTGCTCTAACCTTGTGGAAGCCAAGACGATTCTGCTGTCCCTTGCTAAGGACAGGCGTGGAAAGCAAAGGACCAAGACTGCTGCTGGGTGTCATGTGTTTCCTTTGAATCTGTCTCTAGATCAGTTCTGGGATACCTGGTGGACACAGAAGCTAGATTTTATGGGTGTGGACACCTGTGCCCCACCATCACCTCCCCCCTCCCCCCCCATGCTTGCACACGCCTCCTAGTGCCCTGAGCAGGTACACACAGTGATGGTCTGGTCTGCTTCGCTGTAGTGAGAAACGGACAGCTACTAACAAGGGAGGTGAGCCACAGCAGTGCTGCAGCTCCCAGCATGTCCCCCTGCTAGGTGCCGTGGTAGGAGTTCCAGTCGAGTTTTGCGGGAGAGATCTTGCCTGCCCAGCACTGCCCCCTGAGCACCCTGGAGGGTCCTGGGGTCCTGTAGTCTGAGGTTCCAGTTCCTGTCTCCCCCAAGGAGCTCACTCTGGCTCACTGTTCCCTTCCTCCAGTGGGATACGGTGTGTTCCTCCCTCCATCAGAAGTCACACTCGTGTCCCTGTGCAGCAACACCCGTCGGGTGTCACGTAGGGCCGTGATAGTCAGTGCAGATCTAAGCTCCCGTGGGAACCTTGGAAGAAGCATGTTCTCTCCAGCAGAGTGGTCAGTGCTGAAGCAGCCTCTTCATGGAGCGTTTCTCTTCAGGTGGTGATCAACGGAGGAGCTACGTCCAGTGGGGAGCAGGACAACGAAGACACAGAGCTCATGGCCATCTACACCACGGAAAACGGCATTGCGGAAAAGGTATTCAGCCAGTCCCAGGCCACTGGGGCATGGTGTCTGTGCCCTGGGATGTGCGAGGGGTGTGCCTGTGGTGTGTTCCCTTTGCAGTGGAGGTCAGAGTCGTTGTTCCTACTCCATTTGTCTGAATGACAAGATGTGACCCTGATCAGGGATAGTCTAGACTTATTTTTGTCTTTTTCTTTTTTTATCGGTACCGGGGATCGAACTCGCAACTGCCTGCTTGCAAGGCAGGCACTTATGCCGCTGAGCTAAATCCCCAGCCCCGGTCTAGACTTATTTTTAAGGCAGGCTCTCAACATGTAGTCCAGAACTTGAAGGTAAGAGTCAGGCCTGGGTAGGCTTGACTGAGAGACCCTAAGGGGATTGCTACAGCTTGGTGGGCACCAGCTTCTTGTTCTTTAAAGTGGAGTACGAGTACAAGCTGAGCATGCTTAATCTGGCAATCCAAAACTTTTTAGTACCAGTGAGAGTTTCAGGGTTTGGAGCCATTTTGATTTCAGATTTTCAGGTGTCCAACTGGTCAACACTTAAAAAATCTGAAAACCCCTGACGTGTGAAAGACTTTTGGTCATTTGGTATTAACATCTATCATGGCTCATTATAAAGACTGAGTGAAATGATTTATAATGTTTATGTTAAAAGAAAGGTATTAGCACTATGCTTGCTGTTATTCTAACACTGTAGCAAGTAAGAAAGACCAGAAAATGAATTTGATGAAGCTGTTCAGCCAGAGCAATGAAAGCTGCATTGCATTATCTAGCACTGTAGCATGTAGTGAAATACCTGACACAGATCAGAGGTCTGGAGGTTCGAGACCAGGCAGCCTTGATGGATCGGGCTGCTGTTGGACAGGGTTCATCATGATAGGAAAGTGTGGGAGTGAGTGCTTTAGGTGTGTGTGCATGTGTCCCAGGGTCTTGGGACTTCCCACTAGATCCTCTCTCTTAAAAGCCCCTTTCAATAGTGCCGCCTTGGCGACCAAGCCTTTAAGCAAAATTCTAGCATGTACTGCGTTGGGGAAATGTTTCTTTGCTCATACTTTGTTATTAGTGGTGCTGTCCTGCAGGGCTGTGGGTAGTGGGCTGGTGTTGAGTGGACCTTTATGTGATGAGCCTAGTACCATGACTGCATCAAGGTAGCAGGCTGGCTGGCTCAGTGTGGGCTTCCTCGTTAGGGTCAGTGATGTTCTAGGATTCACAGGACTCAGCCACCTTGTAATCCTCGTGGTTCATTGTTGTCTTGTTTTCAAACAAAGAAAGCATAGAGATTAAAGTGATGGGAAAAGGTACATGAGCAAGTCTGGGAGTCACCAAGTGCTGGCTCCCAGTTACTGTTTCCCATCAAGCTTTCAGTTTCCCAGCAGTAAATGTGGTTAGTGCTCATCCCAACCTGGTGTGTGGGGCGCACACTGGGGGACAGTCACATAGGCCTGCACTGCCAACTTCAGTTGTCTCCAGGGGTCCTGAAATAACTCAACACAAAACCTGCAGCTTCCTGTCATATACCAACTTTAAGGAGGCAGGGTGTCAGAGGTGGCTCCCAGGCACAGCACAGGATTTAGACAGCGGCAGTCTATGGAGCTGATCTTTCTGCATGCAGATCTTCTCTTTCTCTCTGTCTGTCTGTCTCTCTCTCTCTTTTGTTCTTGCTTGCTCTATTGCGCGCGCGCGCACACACACACACACACACACACACACACACACACACACGAGTTTTTCTGCCATTTCTACCAGGCTTTCAAAAGACGCACCCCAATCAAACCTGTTCAACAGTGCAAATCTGTTAGAAGGAAATATTCTCCCTGAAAGGGCATGTTCGATTACGGTTAGATTAGATCAAATGTCAGCTTACTTCAGACATTTACCTTTAGGCAGAGGTGCGTCACTTCTTGTATTTAAAGGATTTGGCTCCCAGCCTGCAGTTCTCCTCTTCTTGGATCTGCAGTTTGGAGACTCCCTGGGGAAGACAGGGTTACTTTGAGTGTCCTGTGTGGTCCAATGCTGAGTGAGCTTGGAACTGTGGCCCAAGCTGACTGAAAATGCTTTGTCTGTAACCTTGAGTGTCACAACATTGTGGTGATTTGGGCTTCAAAAGCATTCAGCACTTTATTTCTTTTAAAAGTTCTTACTATTGGTGATTAGGAGAGAAGAAAATTTGTCATCCAAACTATAAATGCATTTTTAGTGCCTTTGAGTTTTTAAATTGATAGACTTGGGAGTTTTGCATGTCAGCATCTTTGCGTAACTGTTTTGGTAGGGCGAGTTAGGCTTTATTTTTAGGTACAAAAATGGACAGGAGTGGTTAGAGTTGGAGGGATATCAGTTGGAAAGTGACTAAAGGTTTTACAACATGTCTTCCTTTGGATCTCACTCAAGCTGCCACTTTGTGTTCTTCATGATCTCCGTCCTCGTGGGAGGGTTGAGGTTAGGGGAGCAACTCTGAACAAGCTGGGTGCTCTTGGAGGTGATTTAATGCCAAGGGACACACAGGGTCCTGAATTCTGAGGATGGTCCATCTCACTGAGCAAGTGCACTTGGCTGCCTTGGAGCAGCAGGAGGGGCGCTTGTCCTCAGCAGTGGGCTGTGCTGGGCTGACGGTTTTCTGGCATTCACTAAGTCCCACCTTGTTCTCACTTGCCCGCAGAGCTCTCTCGCAGAGACCCTGGACAGTACTGGCAGTCTGGACCCTCAGCGGTCAGATATGATCTACACCATCGAAGATGTTCCTCCCTGGTACCTGTGCATATTTCTGGGACTGCAGGTAAGATGCTCCCTGTGGGATGTGTAACTGCTGGCAGCTTGCATTGCCTACCATCTGGAGTTTCAGAAAATTCAAGTTTGGTTTTTATTTATTAATGATTTTCTTATAAAATCACTCTTTTAAGAATAATTAGGAGTAATAATGTGCAGATGTGCAGTAGTGTGCAGTAATAATGTGGTAGCACATGCCTGTAATCCTATCCCTCTTTTTGGAGGCTGAGGCAGGAGGATTGCCACAGGGGAAGGTCAGGGCTGCATAGTGAGACTTTCTTAAAACATAAAAATAAAAAATAGAATTTTTAACATCAATTTCATAGTAGGATAAAGAAAACTAGGAAAAGAAAGAAGGAAAAATCTTCAGAGAAAAGCAAGAGAAATGACATAGATGAGGAAAGAAGATGATAGAAACAGAAAAAAAAAAAGGAGTTAGAGGGAAGGATGCAGAGAGTGAAAAGGAATTAATTTCCATCTCCCATACTTGGCCACACGAACCTGGCCACACGCATGGCAGGGTGTGTTGTGAAACACGGGCAACCTCCTAAGTGTCCCTGCAGCAGACATGTAGAGGATGGGAACCTGGCCATGGAGCAGCTGTTCCACCCATTATGTCTTCCGGGGTGCATGAATGGGTTGGGGCCAGTGGGGAGACACAAGCCAGCGGTGGCCGCTTGTGCCCTTGGGACATCCCCTCCTGGCTGGCAGCACCATTTCCCTGCTCGTAGGGTTATAGTAGCTTTTTCTGGAGTAGGAGGATGAGTGAGGACACTCGCTTGCTGGCTTGCTTGCTTTCTTCACATCCAGAGATTTATTTACCTTTATGAAATATAAAGTGATATTACTATGAACAAAGAACCCTGCTGATTTGAGAAGTCTAAAGCTTACTATTATTATTGCCTGTTTTGGAAAGGGTTTCACAGTGCAGTTCAGGCTAGCTTTGAATTCACTTTGTAGTCCAGACTAGCCTTGAATTCAGTGATCCTTGGCCTCCGCCACCAGCGTGCTGGGATTGCAGGTGTGCACCACACCTGGCTAGTTAATACACTTTTATTTCTTTCTTTCTTTTTTTTTTTTTCACGGTACTGGGGATTGAACTCAGGACCTTGCACTTGCCAGGCAGGCGCTTACGCCACTGAGCTAAATCCCCAGCCCTATACTTTTATTTTTATCTGTCTGTCTGTCTGTCTATTGGGTATTTATTTATTTTGGTACTAGGAATCAAGCTCGTGACCTTGTCATGCTTGCCAGGAAGTTGCTATACTGCTGAACTGTATCTTCAACACATTTACATACTTTTAAGAACCTGTTGAATACTATAAATATCAGCAAACAGAAATGCACTGTGGAAATCAGTGTGGAGGTTCCTCAAAAAGCTAGGATTAGAGGTCCCATTTGACCCAGCTATTCCACTTCTGGGCATATTCCCAGAAGAACTGAAAACATACCACAGTGATGTATGTGCACCCATGTTTATAGCAGCGCAATTTGTAATAGCCAGATCTTGGAAATGATCCAAATGCCCAGCAACTGAGGAATGAATAAAAAAGATAGAGTATTTTTATACAATGGAGTACTACTCACCTATAAAGAAAGATTGCATTGATGCTTTTTATAGGTAAATGGATGAGACTTGATTCCATACTCATAAGTGGAATAAATTTGACTTAAATGTGTAGATACTGTATTGTCTCCTTAGTGTAAGAAACTTAGAGTAAATATGGTCCAAAACTTATAGTAGATGTTGTGAAAAGGTAAGAAAAACTGCTTAAAGGGAAAAAGTAACTAGGATTGGGGAAAGGAGAAAAGAAAGGGCAAAGAAAAAGACATAAAACAGCTAAGATGACTATTCTACTAAATGTATTAATTCTTGGAAAAGAGCACTTAATAGTCATGATTAGATCATATGATTCTACATGTCTATATCTGGTAATCTAACCAACTTTTTTGAATATAGCAATGTGCAATATTACAACCACTGTTAAATTCCTGTCTTATTTTGAAAGCTTATATTGTTACTGTTTTGAGTTTGTTGTTTTGGTAGTTGTTTTTTTGTCGCTTATTTTTTGTTTTTCTTTCCTGCGGTTTTTTCTCTTTAAAAAAACTGCAGACATAAAATTACACTGGCTTAATAAACCAAGAACTCCTCTAGGAAGCATTTTTTTTTCCTATTGCCTATCTTACTTTGTTCCTTCCTTACATTTGTGTTTCTGACATAAGACCCAAGCTCTCCTCCTGGTAGCTCGGTGGCACTCTGTGGTATAAACATCACCCTTTCTGTAGCCGCTCCTGATCTGACTGGGCACAGAGGCTGCTCCTAAGGTTTCCCTGCACCACTGTAGTACAATGTCTTTCACTCTTTTGGGAAGACTCCCCAAAGGGGAGTACCTGGGTCTAATGTTATTTCTAGTTTTAGTTTTTTTTTTTTTTTTTTGTAGTTTTAGTTTTAGTTTTTTGAGGTGCCAGTGCACCTCTGTGGGTGTCTTTCCTCAGTGCTACCTCCTGGCTGGCACTGCTCTGTGTTTCAGCTTTGACTTTTAAGTCTGACTTTCTACTCTTGCTTCTTGGAGCATGTGCAGTGGGTTCTTCTGAGCTTTCTCAGAAGCCGTAAAGATGGTCTCAGGGGCCAAGCTGTTGTCAGCTTGGGAGTGGGGCCACTTGTGCTTCCCTCCACGCCATGGCTGGGTTTGTAGAGCTCAGGCCCCCTGGAGGCAGGGCAGGGGGTAGTCCTGGGAAGGATGGCTGGGGCCACAGAAGCTGTGTGCCTTGGCAAACAACTTACCCTGGCTGACAGTTCCAAAATAGGTGCAAGGGAAGTGCTTTCTGCTGTTGATGGCTGTGGAAGTCTCCATTAGTTTAATTAGAGTGAGAGCCCCATCTGCGTCCCATTTCTCTTGGCACACATACTCGTGCACGCTGAGCAGTCCAGTCTGTGCCCAGAAGCACCTGGGCTCTGAGCTGCAAGCAGTGCGTGTGAGAAACGTGGGCAGGAGTAGAGGAAATGCAGGATGTTTGCAGGACAGAAATAACCCCAGAGCCCCAGGGAAGGAGTGTGCTCTGCCAGGGCCACAGGGAGTGGGGAGGAGTCCCCAAAGGAGGAGCTGAGCATGGTTTCTCCTGGATGAGTCCTACACTCACTGCGCCCTGAACCTCTCCTGACCTCAAAACACCCTGCCAGACCACAGGAAAGATGGAAAGCACTGTGCCCACAAACAGAAAAACCACAGAATATTGATCCTGAAGATGTAGTTATAAAATACTAGTAAATCAGAAATACAGTGTGGGTAACTTCAGTTTATTTCCATAATATAAGAGTACTTGCGTGCGTTCATAGGGCAGAGGAGAAAAGGCCTTGTGGGTGCCATAGGAAGCTTTGGAGAAGGTGAAGGTGGGAGAAGCAGGAGGCCTCACCCTGTCCCTCTCTGTCTCTCCTCCCTCCCGCAGCACTATCTGACCTGCTTCAGTGGCACCATCGCGGTGCCCTTTCTGCTGGCGGATGCCATGTGTGTGGGGTATGACCAGTGGGCCACCAGCCAGCTCATTGGGACCATTTTCTTCTGCGTGGGAATCACGACTTTGCTACAGACCACGTTTGGATGCAGGTGAGACTGGGATGCTGACACGCCGTGAGCCTTCAGCTCAGGGCGGCTGGCATGGGAGTGTCCTGGTGGCCATTGGTGTCTTCCCCACCCCACAGGGCTCCTCTCATATTTCTTTTCTTGCTGAAAGGCACCGCCCACTCCCAGTTACACAATGTGGAAACTCAGCCTCTCTCTGACCCCTGTCCCCTGCTGGTCCTCCTTGCCCCCTCCCGGGCTGTCCCCCCAGGTCCACAGCCTCCAGGACTCCTCTCTGTCCCACGCTGCACTCCACCCTGCTGCCCACATCTTCCTGGGCTGGCCAGGCTGTGTAGTTCCATTCCTGGTTCAAACCAAGATGGGCCTGGTGTTCAGTCTGTCCTTTGTTTGCTCTCTGTCCCTCCACAATTCCAGCTGCACTGCTGAGCCCTGTTCCCACTGCTCTGCACGTCCTGCCATCTCAGCTTCCTACCCAGCAGTCCTCATGCATCCTCCATTCCTGGCCTGTGCTCCCTCCTGTGGCACATGCCCAGTTGCCCCCTGCATTCCCATGAGTACATCTTGTGTTCATTCTTGAACCATGGCTTACTCCCATGCGCCCTTCTCTGAGTTTGCATCTTTTCTCTCTGCTGGCTGGGGCAGCCTCCTTGATGTTGGGCTCTGGCTTGTTTCCCTGTGCGTCCCTGTGAGAGTGGAGCAGCCAGGAAGGGCTAGGGGATCCTCCCCTGCCTCCCTCGAGCTTGCCCTCTCCGCTGTCCCTTAGCTTTTGCCTTCTTCCTATCCTGCAGCTGTGCTGTGCTAGGGTGGAGTGGGGACCTGCACTGGCAGAACTATCCTAGCATGAGCTCTCTTGTTTTCTCTCTTGCTTGTTAAGAGACCATGCGAGTCAGGCTTCAGCGTCCTTGCTGGGGAGGTGGCAGTGAGAGGCACACAGCTCTTAGCCTTGGAGCCATGGCCTCCGTTTTCATCAGCTGGAGTCCCACCCTTGTGGGTGGTAGTGAGTGGTGCTGGGGTTTCCTCTTACAGTGTAGGTGATGTCCCGAGAGGGCTTCCCACAGCCCCTGTACATGCCACTGATGGAGAGCCATAGGGCTTACAAGTCCTTGGGCTTCTCAGGCTCTCAGCCCTGCTAGGCTGCTGACCATCACGATGCTGGGCAGAGGGGCTGTCATTTACCTGCTGGTGACTGAGGAGGTCCAAGCCTTCCGTGGAGTACTTTAGCCAAGCAATTAAATGTGTGGTAGCATCTCTGTGCTTTACTATATTCAAGGCTCTCCATTGCAAGGCCAGCATGAGAGCTTCACTTTGAGCACAGGGCACTGGCCTCTGGGGAAGTGGTTCTTTCCCTGAACCGCCAGTTTGCCAGTGAACTGGGAGTTTAGTCCATGTGGCAGTGCAGACAGTGCCTCTGGCTGGGAGTAGCTGCTGACCTAAAGAGCAGCCTGGAGATACCTCAGCTGCAGTGATGTCTGGCCTGTGCACAGCTCTGCACTGACACCATGCCCATGCCTGGGCCCACCCATACTGGAGCCTCTTGGACAAAGTTGTCCAAGGTTACATAGCAGAGGGACCTAAGAGGACTCTGGGTATGTCCTTTGGGTCCTGGCAGGACAGTCCCTTTTCCATTCTCAAGGCAGTAAGCTGACGTAGCAAAGGTCAAGGAGCTAGCACCCTGCCGGTTGGTTTGGGACCAGAAATGTGGAGCCTGGGGGTGAGGGGGTGCACCCTGTGCCAGCAAGGCATGACTGTGTCCCCTGTGGCACAGAGAGCAGCAGGGCCTCTGCTTCCCCTCACTGCAGCCATGGGCTTGGTCATGCAGCAGGCAGTGGCTGACCATGCATGCACAGGGGAGGGCGTCTGTGGTAGGTCCATGAAATGCTGGTCTGGGGATGTTGGGATTTCTGTGGCTGTTGGACCATGGTGTCCTCACCCAGGTAACCTCACTCTTGGCCTAGGAAGAGAGAGAATTCTGACTTGGTGCCACGGATACCTAGTCTGTCTGTGCCGCAGGTAGTGAGCAGAAGTATCAGTGTGTGTGGTGAAGTGCGTGGCCCGTACTGTATCGGAGCAGCACTGTCATGAAGGCCTTGTTGCCCTGCTGGAGACTAACAGGTCACAAGCAGGTGGCGGTAGAGACAGGCCCTGAAGACTTAGCGGGTGCTCAGCCTCAAAGGGCCGAGGGAGCATTTTCCACCCTGGCATAGTGGCAGGAAGTGACAGTGAGTCATGGGACTTCTCCATTGGACAGATGGGCTGGAATTTGGCGGGGACCCGCTAGCTAAGCCTGCGCCTCAAAGACTTTGGTTTCAGCAGTGGCAGAGGAGAAGCGAGGAGACCCAGCTACTCAGCATTGAGGGGAGCAGGTGACCTCGTCATCTCGGCCGGAGGCATCCCTATTATTTTAACAACCTGCTGTATTATTGTAGGTTATTATAATCTTCCCCAAATAGCCTAAGAGGTTGTAGGCTTTCATTCAACTTCCATTTGTTCCACTAAATGTGTGTAGCATGGGCTGTCATAAGGCGTGAATTTTGACAGGCCTGTGGATTTATTTTCTGCTCAAAACAGGATCAGTGGGGGCTGAGGATTTAGCTCAGTGGCATAAGTGCCTGCCTTGCAAGCGCGTGGTCGTGAGTTCAATCCCGGTAAAAAAAAGAAACAGGATCAAGTGAACAGAGAGTGAGGGGTGCAAGGGTGGCTCCCTGTAGGAGGCGAGGGCAGAGGGAGCCGAGAGGGGATTCATCCCCAGTGTCCCCACTGAGGTTGACAGGCGAACTGTGTGGGTTTGCTGGGGTTTCTCAGGCTCAGAGCAGCAGCAGGAGTTGTTTCAGCTTTCATGATTTCTGGGCAGGTTCACAGATGACACGGTTCCTGCTGTGAGTAAATTCTGTGTGTTTGTGTATCTCTCTGCTGCTTGCTGTCATCACAGTCATTGCGCTGGGTGCCTTGGGTAAGTGGGCCCCGAGCACCGACTGTCACCCCTGCTTCTGAGGGAGCCTGAGAACTCTGAGCTGGGAGAACCTTGTGCTGGACCAGGTCTTCCTGTCCCATGGGCTCTGGGCTGGCCTGGAAACTGTTGTGCCATGAAGGCAGCCAGAATCGGTGGGGGAACTGCAGCAAGGTCGCAGACGTGTGACTTTGCAGACGTCACCCTGTGTGCTGCCCTCCGCCCTCCCCTCTTTGCTCCGGAGTCACCGCCATCTTTTTATAAGTGGTGTTCATGAATCTCAGCACCGTTTGTGGGACTTGGGTGGCGTGATTACTCACTTCCCAGAGCCCCTGTCTGCTGGGCTGGGGCCTTCTCAGGTAGTTGCTTTTCCTTCTCTCTGCCTCCTCACTCCTGCTTCTTCCTTCTCCTTTGACCTTGCTTCCTTGCACTTTGCCTGCAGCACCTTCCCTGCCGAGCTCACTTGTAGGAGGTTGGGAGAGTTGTCCTCGTCCTTGTTGATGCGTGCTGTCCCTCCCAGCAGTCATTTGGCTTGTTCTGGAAATTAGTGCAAAACTTTCCAACACTTTGCAGTCAGGGCAGGGTCGTTCAGAGACCCCCTTCCCCAGGCTCAGTCAGCCTGCAACCGTCCTGCCCAGGAGAGACACGGTTACCTTCTTCAATCTTAGCAGGTCCTAAATCTGGTCCTAAATTGAGCTCCTGTCTGGTGAAGGAAGGAGGTAGACACACGTATCTGTGTGGGGCCCATACACACTTACCTTGGAATGAGGGCCCCCTGCATCACCAGGATGCTGTCGTTGGTATCTGAGAAGCTGTTCTCTGCTAGTGTCTCCTGTGCATTCTACGCTTAGCTACCACTTGTCCTAAGGTGTGTTGGTAGCTGTCCCTGTGGGCTCTCCAGGCCAGCATTCAGTTGGGCTCCTGTGGAGCCTTAGCTTACAGTGTCTCTTCAGTCTTGAAGCAGTCACAGGGAGGCTGGTCACAGAGCGTCCCACCCTCTGGGTTTGTCCCAGTGAGTCCTCATAGTGTTTGATCTGCTTCTAGTTTCCCTTATGTGTTGGAACCTGGAAAGGGAGCGAGGCCTATAGATGACTCAGGGTGAGCGTTTTTGCCAGAGTCCCTGAGTAGATGGTATCAAGCAGGCACATAATAGCAGGTTGCCTGGTATTTTTTTCCCCATCAAATAAAAAATTTACCAGCTACTTCCCTAAGAAAGAATGCTTAAGTAGTACATTACAGTGAGAGGCCAGGGAGCTCCCAGGGAGAATGACCTTGAACAGCAGCACTGCCCTAGCCAGCCACATCAGACCTTTGCGCTCAGGTCTGCCTTACCTGCCCTGGGACTTTGGCATTGGCCGAGCTGCCTCTCTCTCATAGCTCTTTTCCTGCTGGTGTAAAGTGATGACGGTGTATTGAGTGTCAGTGCACCCTGCAGACTGTTGGCCCTCATCGACACTCAAGCCCTCCAGAAGGAAGGAGGCAGGTGAGGTGGCGGGGTTCAGCCTGGTGGAACTGTTTGACCCTTACCTGTGTGGCAGGGAGTGGGTGTGAGCCGTGGCCACACAGCTAGCACCCTGACCCCTGAACCTGTCGCAGAGCCCATCAGACGCTGATAGTGGCATTTGATGCAGCTCCTTTGAGTCCCTAGTGCCTCCTAGATCACCCACTTGTTATCTAGGGGTGCTGGGCTCCCCGAGGCTACTGTCCACCCTCCCTTCTGGGCTGTCTCCTTTCATGTCACACTGTGAGCAGTCCTGGTGTTCGTGGGACTAGGAGAGTGACTGGGTTCTTTTGAAAGATACAGATACAGATATGTATGATCTTGACTCTCATGTCCCACTGCCTGGCACATCCCATGCTCTGAACTACTCGTCCTCCTTGCACCCCGTCATCGCCTCTGCACTCTCCTCTTTAGGCAGGCAGCTGGCAGAAGCAGCACAAAACAGGAGTGGAGGACAGAGTAGTCCCCAGTACGAGGAGAGAGGAAGTGCTTTTCCTTTCTTTCTGTTAAGTATTGGGACTGTCAGGCACACCTGACATCTTCAGGAATATGTCATTTCTTCCTCTGCACATGCTGAAGATTCTTAGCAGCCAGGATTTTGTAAAGTGCTTTCTACATTAAAATGTACCCTTGCCAACATGTACAGTCTGGTGAATTTCCATCCATGTGGGCAGTCACTTGCACCTGCTGTGATCAACACATGACCTTGTCATACTCCGGACTCTCGTGCCCTTTGTACCTGGTCAGATCTTAAAGTAGGAAAGGTCTGGTATGCTAAGAAACCCTCAGCCTGGAGTAGTTACTACCGTGTTTAACAAGGAGATTACCCAAAGGAAAGAGAGAGAAAATACAGAAAGGAAGGAAGGACCAGTGATATTAGGTTGAATCATTAATGTCATTATGATCCCCATTTTTTTTAAAAAAAAGGCATTGTTAAGAAACAGTGGTTCCAGGGCTGGGGACTTAGCTCAGCAGCATAAGCACCTGCCTTGCAAGCAGGCAGTTGTGAGTTTGATCCCTGGTACCGGAAAAAAGAAAGAAAGAAACAGTGGTTCCTCCGTGGCAGCAGATCTACCTGGAGCCCAGGACTTGGTTGCTAACCACCGCTGTCCGTTGTAACGAACCAAGGTTCCCTGGTGGAGCAGTCTGTCACGGTATGGATTGAGGAGAGGCCACACTGGACCTGGACCATCTCAGGCTAGAAAGCTAGAGACTTGCCTAAAGAATGAGGGATAGAGGAAGGAAGAGGGTGGGGACAGCAGTTACCACCCGAAGCAAGCATCCCCACCTAGGGAGACATTCAGAGTGTCCAGATGTGTCACAGTAACGGCGTGAAACACCTATGCCTGATACATTGTGTAGGCCATCAAATTGCATTGGTTAAAATGAGAGAAATTCCAGTGTGCTTGGATATTAGATTATATTATTAGCCTTCTTTTCTTAGATGTGGTAAGGGAGAAGATGCAGAAGCATGTGCCTATCCTTTTTTTTTTTTTTTTTTTTTTTTAAGGTCAGAGTCTCATTGTGTAGCCCACGCTGGCCTTGAACTCATGGAGATCCTCCTGCCTCAGTCTCCTGAGTGCTGGGATTACAGGCATGTGCCACCATGCCTGGCTAGGATGTGCTTATTCTTAAGAGAGGCCTGCTAAAGTGTGACATGCACTTCAGGTGTGCAAGCTACTTTCAGACAGTCCAGCTGAGAGTTGGGCAGAGGAATGGATAGATACACCATAAATAACAGGAAAATGCTACCAATTAAGAAAGGTTTCTTTGACATATGGTGCTTTGCTTTTTTTAAAAAGCACTAAGAACACACACTCCTTGTGGTTGTTGATAGAATGGTAAAAACTACATTTCCTCAAAGCTAGACATACTTACATTTCTTAGCACTTACTGTTTGGTCCAGGCTCAAGTGTGCATTTGCAAAGAAGGCTGTGTGCTGGCTTTGGTAGCTCATGACAGATTGAGGAGGCCAGATGCAGAGGGCTGTCTGTGACGAGTTTTGTTCCTGTCTTCCATTAAACAGTTTAGTTTCTGGACAGATATGTGTTGTACCTGCTCATTGCTTCCTGTAGCACTTACGACCTTTTCAGTTTCTTTGACTTCTCTCTGATGGTACCAGAGGAGGCTTTGCATCTGGATTGGCTGTGAAATTCACATGCATATCGTCTGATCTCTGTATGAAGTGCTTTCATTTAAATGGTGTCCTCTCCCGGATTTGCACTTACAAATCAGCAGATCAGATCGGGAAGGCTTTGCCCTCTTATTTCTAGTTGACAAAATTCCTTTCTAGGTGCGTTTGTGACAGTGCCTTCGGTTCATTGTTGTTTGGTTCTGAATGTGCAGCGGTAGTAAACAAGTCTCCCTGCCCGTGTGGAACCCCAGCCTCAAGGGCACCAGGCTAGCCTTGGACAGTGGCCAAGTCAGTGGGTGCAGAGGAGGAGCTGAGGACTGACGGGCTTCTGGATGCTGTGCGTCCACCGGAAAAGAGCGCTCCTGCCTGTGATGTAGGAAAGCGCCACTGAACGCTCATGTGATCTGGCCATAACTTATCTGGGATCACTTCATTCAGGCTGCCTGAAAGGCATTGCCACAGCCTGTGCAGGCCCAGCAGTGAGTGTGTGATGCAAGCCAGGCAACTCCTGCCCAGCTCATCCTAGGAGTCTTTTCCTGGTGCCACCCACTCTTAGCAGCTCAGGATCTCCAGCCAGCGTGGGAGGCTCTTTGAGCAGTGTTCTCCTGGCATTTTGTCCTGGATAAGCCATAAAATACTTGCCCTGAAAGGTGCTGAGATCAGCTTCAGATTGAAGTTGACTGAGGCGTGCAACTCAGAGCCAGTCCTGACTTCTTCCACTTCCAGGGACTCACTGGTACAGTGTGATGGTGGTGTCTCTAAGTACAAGCTCTCCAAATGTGGCTCACTGCTCACATGTTCCCCAAGGACACCTTGCTTGCAGTCTGAAACTGATGAAACAGGTGTGCTTTGGACCATGTCTAAGGATGTGCCACCCCCTTCACCCCTGCAGTGTGTTCCTAAAGATTTGTGCCTGCGGGATTGCATAAGGCACAAGCTGTTTCCCCTTTGACCTGTTTCACTCTGATAGCTCTATGCTGGGGCTCCTAGGCAGGTAATTATAACTGGATGGTTGGTGGCAGCCCTGTGAATGGCTGCCCCCAGTGAGTCTGGTTTGTGTTGTGTGGCTCACCTCTGTCCTAAAGCCCATCCTGCCTGCTCAGTTCATTTCATTGCATGACTGAATCTGCCAAGAGGGCATCGTGACAAAGGAGTCTTGACTCATCGGGCTCAGGAGGGGTTGTGGGCTCTGGCCTTGCAAAAACAGCCACTGTCCTTTGGCCAGAGCCACTTCTGCTTTTCCATCCAGGTCTGTTTTGCTGGCGGCAGGTCTTGCTGGCCCAGCCGAGGGAAGGAGGCTGGGTCTCTGTCACTGGTGAGGTCTCGGGGCAGTTAAAGAACTGGGCACCTTGCAGTTCCTTTCCCTGCAAATAGCAGGAACCAGTTTGATACCTTCCCACCAAGCAGTATGAAGAAAGTAAGTGAGTTCTTATGCTAAGCAACAAAGCCACTCCAGTACAGCTTAGCTGAAGTGATGTGTATATTTCCAATAAAAAATGGCAAAGTCTTTGGGGGCTAAGTTATTCATAAAGTCAATATAAATTACCTAAAATGTAACTGAATGGTGGCGTTTGAGGGTCTCAGCTTTTAACTTGAGGATACAGATAGGAAGTTTAATGGAGTCTGCCTGTTTTGTCAGCCCTCTGAAATACGTTAGGAAACTTAAGTGTTTTTATGATACTAGCGTATTTATGATACATACTGTCACTTTGTAACTTACAGCTTTCCTTCTTGATACTTCTCAATCACTAACATGATTTTATTACTTAAATGACTTTAATACTTTTATGACGAGAGTGGTTTTTGACCCATAAAATGACACACCAGAAGGAGATAGTCATTTTCCGGTGTAACTGATAAGAGCTTGAAGCGGGGAGGGAGACACAGCAGATGTGCACTGATGTTTCCTAGGGATGGCCCCCATCCTCAAGGGGAAAGGTGGCGATGGCAGGGACTGGCCACGGCAGGGGCTGGTGTTGGGGTGCTGGCACTGATCACAGGGTTCCCCTGAGCTGCTTGGGGGCAGAGTGGCCGGAGGGGAGGATGGAGCAAGCGCCCGTAGATCGGTGCAGAGTGGGGCTCTCTTCCAGGTGTGCCTGCATTACGATGTGCTGTGTGTCTATGGAAGACTGTTAAGCTGCAAATAGTGAACTACCTCGGTAGTTCCTGATGCTGTGATCATGGTTTTGGTCTCGTTTCTTTTAGGTTACCCCTGTTTCAGGCCAGTGCTTTTGCATTTTTGGCCCCTGCTCGAGCCATCCTGTCTTTAGATAAATGGAAATGTAACACCACAGGTAATTGCAGTTATTTCCACATATGTCATTGGGGTCCTTTAATGCAGGTGACAAAAGGGAAGCCTGGACACACTGCCCTGAGCGGTGTTTGCTCATTCTGAGGTTAGGCAGAGCACACCAACCCATAAACAGCTTAGAATGCTCCAATCTGTGGACCGTGTCTGTCTCTCTCTTTCTATCCACTCGTTCATCCCTAACCCTAGAGCAAGTGAGGGCCAGAAATGACCTCATTCCTCTATGCTAATGAAAGGGATAAGTATGGGAAAGGGGTAGAAAAACATTTGTGCTATTTTCCTGCCTCTCTCTTTCAGTGGATTTTATGACCCCCGTAATCACTCTCTTGGCTGCGTCAGCATCCCTTCTGTGAATCATCTTTGCCTTTTAAGATCTGGCTACTGTGGTTTTCTGCAAATGACTTTCATTCCCCTTCCTTAGGGATTGCAGAGATCCTTAAGGAATCTGATAAGGTCAGGAAAAGATAAGAAATTTGGGACAATCAGAGTCAGACCTGTCGTACTCTGAAAACACAGTTATATTTTGAGGTTCTAGGAGCCAAACTTTCCAGCCTTCATTTCCTTCCTTGCTCCTAGGAGTTACTTTGTGACCATTAATTTGATTTAGGAATTGCAAAGAACCCTCTGTTTTATCTAAGGTTTTACACCTCAGCCCAGCAACCTTGCTGTCGGACATTGCAGTTAGCTGCTTGCAGAGGTTGGTTCCTGTGTGAAGCTGGTACTAGTAAAGGGCAGCACCACTTCCGTCAGCTTTTGCCACGTTGGGGAGCACTAGTGGATGAGGACATTTGGTTAAATTAGTGCTGGGGACCCACCTTGCAGTACAACAAGCCCAACTGTTGCAGATTCCATTTTACGGATAGGTACTGACACCAATGTACTTGTAACAGGGGGGAAATCAGTTCTTCTAAAAGAGTAAAAGATGAGTGTGTCCTGAAACAGCAGCATCACTCCAAGGAAACCTTTGTCTGTTTTTGTTTTCAAGATGTTTCAGTTGCCAATGGAACAGCAGAGCTGTTGCACACAGAACACATCTGGTATCCACGGATCCGAGAGGTAAAGGACAATTGCTGTCCATCTGCAGCTTCTTTGTGTTTTTTCTCTGCTTCAAGTCTGTTGTGCCTGAGGAATTGCAGTTGTTTTTACTACGGCCTTCACATTTCCAGCCATGAAATGTGTATTTTCATTATGAAACGAAACATATTGTGGCTGTGTAGCTGCAGCCTGCCTTGCCCCCTTCTTCCTGCAGACCCCGAGCTCTGCCGGCCCAGGCCCTCGTTCAGGAGCTGTCTGTGCTGTCGAGGGACAACAGAACAGGTCCTGCTGGCCCCAACAGTAGCCTGTATTTGTTGAAACACCACAGATACTTGTCTGCCAAAGCGCACATAAACAAGAGCAGTGCCTGGCAGCCGCCAGCCACAAAGAAAAACTAACTGTATGCTTGTATTTTCCGGGCCCCTGAGATTGGTAGAGGTTAGCACAGGTTCTGTACGGCAGAGACATTCCTTCAGAAATTTTATCTATATTTATTTTTAGACTGTCTTGCTACATAGCTCAGGCTGACTTTGAACTCACTGTGTAGCTCAAACTGAACTTGTGGCAATCCTTTTACCTCAGTCTTCCAAGTGCTGGCTACAGGTATGTGCCACACACCTGGCAAAATTTTATCTTTTTTTTTTTTATTTTGTCTTTTTCCTTTTTATCGATACCAGGAATCAAACTCACGACCGCCTGCTTGCAAGGCAGGCGCTTATGCCGCTGAGCTAAATCCCCAACCCCAAAATTTTATCTTTTAAATGTGCTCTAGGAGCTCACTCTTTAAAGCCAAGAGTCCAAGTACTGTCATTTTCCTGGAAGACTGGTTTTGAACTGTGTTTCAAATGGGAATTTTTCTGTCTCACTTATCAGTGGAAAAAGGCCTTGTGTCCAGTGCCCCTTTCTGTCATTCTTCCCTCACGGATGTCACAAACAAGTTTGCTTGGGCTCCTTTATTCCACTGAAACTTCAGTGTGGTCCCAGTGGACTTGCCAGCTGTCATGCCTGACCTGTGGTGGACTAATTTGCTGGCCTGAAGAATCGTTAGTCATGGTTGCAGATGATGTGCGGAGTGTTTCACATCCACATAGCTCACTCCTGTGTCTGTTTCATCTCTTTCAGATCCAGGGTGCCATCATCATGTCTTCATTGATAGAAGTGGTCATCGGGCTCCTTGGCCTACCTGGGGCTCTGCTGCGATACATAGGGCCACTGACCATAACGCCCACTGTGGCCCTCATCGGCCTTTCCGGTTTCCAGGCAGCTGGAGAGAGGGCAGGGAAGCACTGGGGCATCGCCATGCTGTGAGTGTTCTCAGACTCCTGGCAGAATCTGGAGGAGCCTGGTCTCCCCACCACTGCCGAGCGACAGACTGCTTGCTTTTCAGCAGTACTGGGAATTGAATCCAGGGCTAGGCAAGTGCTATACCACTGAGTCACGTCCCCTGCCTGGAACAGTCATGTTAGAAAGAAAAGGAATCTTTCTCTCTCTGAATGTTGTGATGCTTTAAACTTTATTCAGTTCATATTAGGGAATAGCTCAAGGGTTTTTTTAGACCCAGAGGCTGGACAGTGATGTGCAGTTTGAGCAGATTTAGGGAGACTTAAATAGTTTTAAGCTTTGGTAAGGAAGTAAGATGGTGGTGGTGCAAATAAAATACATGAAGAAGTTGTCACCAGTAACTAGAAAAATAAGATTAAAAATTAGCCTGCTGAAAGTGGGGGAAGGAATTAGGAAAACATGTAAGACATTTGAAGCAAATAGAAATGATAAACGCCAAAGCTGGTCCTTTGAGGTCACATCAGCAGAGCGCAGCTTCTGGCAAGGCTATTTAGGATGAGAAGAAGAAAATGGGGGCGTAGAGAGAGGCTGCACCTGCCGTCCAGAGAGCACCACCTCGCCTCACCCAGATTGAGAACAGCACACAACCCAAAAGCATAGGTAATCTTCCCAAGAAACCTAAACAGCCAACACAGACTTCCCCCCGGCCTCCCCTTGGGGCCGACCTGTCAGAGCTGAACCCTCAGTGTTCTTCTTCCTCACTGCCTTCGCCTTGGCTGGCCTCCTCTCACGGTGCCCTGGGCAGACAGCTGATGCCGCGGCCTCTGCCGCTCGCTCAGACCTGGGAGTTCCAGGCCTGCCCTTTCCACATGCTGTTCCACAGATTTTAAATAAAGGACTCCATGCTTTGGATTCCCTCCCCACTTCCCCAAACCCATTTCCTTCTCTTGTCCACCTCCTTTTACAGGTGACCCACTGCACTCAGCTGCATAAGCCAAAAACCCAAGTCAGTCACCCTCTGTGCCAGCCTTGCCTCACTCCCCACTCACAGCTTCTAGCTCCAGAGCAAGCCCTGGAGCTTTTTTCCTCTGAGTCTTTGCTGCCCATCCTCAGCCAGCAGCTCACCAGGGTCTCCCAGTTACCTCCTCTTCCAACCTGACTGTTGCTGGTTCTGTGATGTGTGCAGCCTTCTCCTTGTGAGGCTCCAGTTAGACACAAGCTAGACTTCCCGGAAGCCTTTACGCTGTGTAACGGTTGTGACACTCCAAGTCTCCCCTGCTGGCTCTTGGTGCGGTGAGGCTGTTCGCATCTCTTGGCCTTACACTTGAGCTCTTTCCATCTGGACTCCGAGGCAGGTGAGGTGGGGAATGAGTCACTTTGCAGCTGCCTCCCTTCCCTCCATTCCTGCCTGGACTTTCTGAACTCTTCCCTTCTTTCCTGTCTTGGCATCTCTTTGCACCAGTTTCCTCAGCTTTATTTGTTAATCTTTCTGTGGAGCTTTTCCATTTCTGCTCTTGTGAGTTTCGGTTTCTGAAGCTTTTTGTGCCATGTAACCGCTGTGAGGGCAGGCACTTGGCCCCTAAATTGCTTACCATACTGGCCCCAGCTCCTGGTACGTCTTCTGTTGCATTGTGGATAAGCGAGGAAAGCCCAGAGAATGGTCACCCGAGGACCATGAAACAGTCAAGAACCTTGTCAGAGGCCATTGTGCTCTCCCCCAGATGGTTAGACAATGAGTGCATTGAAACTTCAGTGCTGAGTGTGGTGATGCATGCAAGCTCTGCTCTCTGGGATGTGGAAGAGAGACAAGTTCAAATCCAGCCTGGACAATTTACTGACTTAGTGAGAACCTGTCTCACGATAAAAAAAGGCTGGGAGTGTAGCTCAGCGTGAAGACTTTGGGTTTAATCCTTAGCACCACCAAAACAGCGACTTTTTATGGGGGTAGGTGTTACTGTTTTGTCTTAGCACATGTTTGTAGCACATGATGATCACATTCCTCATGAGGAGCTGGCACCTACATAGAACATGGTTTAAATTCTTTTTTTAAGTCCTTTCCTCTCCTTCCTTTTCCCCCTCCCTCCATCTCAATATTTTCTGTTGTCTCTTACTTTGCTCTTTATTTCTATTTTGAGTTTCACATAAAAGAAACAATGCAGTATTTGTTTGTATGTCTGACTTATTTCACTTAACATTATGGTCTCAATGTGCATCCATTTTCCTGCAGATAATTCAAGTTTATCCCTGTTTATATTAGAGTTGTACTCCATTGTTTGTATATCATTGGCTGCTCAGGATTTAGCTATTGTGAATTGCGCTGCTATTTGGTATGCGTGAATCATTGTAAAATGATGTCTTGAATTCTTTTGGGAAAATTGCTAGAAGGGGAATAGCTGGGTCAAATGGAATTTCTAGTTTTAGCCTTTGGAGGAATCTCCATTCAGATTTTCATAGTGGTGCTGTTAGTTTATATTCCTACCCATAATATAGAAGGGTTCTTTTTCTCTTGTACTGTGCCATCTTTCATTTGATTATCTTAATCAGATTCATTCTTTTCTGGAGTTACAATATCACACTTTTTAATATGCGTTTCTGTAATGGCCAGAGATATTGAACATTTTTTTTAATGTTTTTTTTGGCCATTTGTATTTCTTCTGAGAAGCCTGTTCATCTCAGTTGCCCATTTTTTGATTGGGTCTTTCATTTTAGAAAGAATCTAATTTTTCTAGAATTTTCATATATTCTTGATTCTAGTCTTCTAGAATGAGTCCTTTAGAATAGTTGACAAGTTTCTTTAGGTTGTCTCTTCACTCTATTGGTTGTTTCCTTTGCGGTACAGAAGCTTTTTAACTTTACTATGATTGCATTGTTGATTCTTGGTATTATTTCTTATACAACTGTTTATAAAATCCTTACCTATTTATACATATATCTTCAAGAGTTTTTCCTATTCTGTCTTCTAGCATAGTGTTTATTTTAATATTTAGCTTTTTAATCCATTTTGATTTTAAATTAGTAGATGATGAGATATCTTCTAAAAAGACAAAAAAAAAAAAAAAAAAAGAGAGAGATATCTTCTGCAGCTGGATATTGAACTTTCCCCACCAGCAATATTTGTTAGAAGGCCATCTTTCTTGCAGCATATGTTTTTGGCTCAGATCAGGCAGCTGAATGTGCATCCTCTATTCTCTTTCATCGGTCTACAAGTCTGTTTTTGTTTTGTTTTGCCTGCCATACTGATTTTGTCAGTGTTGCTTTATAGTATAACTCAAAGCTCAGGATTCTGATGCCTTCTGCCTTAGTCTTGTTGCTCAAGATTACTTTTGCTATTCTAGGTCTCATCTGGTTCTGTATGAATGTTAGGATGATTTTTCTGTAGTTTGGTGGGGAATGCTATTGGTATTTTGATTGGGATTGTATTACAAATCTGTATGTCAGTTTTCAAAGTACGACCATTTGGGCTATATTCATTATGCTTATCCAAAAGGGAATCTCTTTCTCTCTGTGTTTGTCTGTTGGTCTGTCTCTCTCTTTTTGAGACAGAGTCTCACTATGTATTGCAGGCTGGCCTTAAACTCATGGAGATCCTCCTGCCTCAACTTCCCCAAGTGCTGGGATTACAGACAGTCCCCACTGCACCTGGCACTCTCATTTTCTGATTTTCTCTTTTATCTCCTTTTTTAGAGTACTATAGTTTTTGTGGTACAAGTCTTTTACTGCCTTGGCTAGTTTAATTCCTCAGTATTTAACCTTTCTTAATGTTATTTTGAAAATTATTGTTTCCCTAATTTCTCAGAGAATTTATTATTGCTGTATAGAAATATATACTAATATATATAGATTTTTGTGGGTTGATTATGTGTTCTGTTATGTTACTGAATTTGAGCATTAATTCTAGGACTCTTAGTGGAATTTTTTGGGTTTTCTATGTAGAGGATCATGTCATCTGCAAATAATGATCATTTGACTTCTTACATTCCTGTACATATCCCTTTTATTTCTTTCTCTTGCCTGATTGCTCTGGCTAATGTTTCAAGACTTGTATTGAACTGTAGTAGCGAGAGCACACACCCTTGTCTTGTTCCTGATTATAGAGGGAAAGCTTTCAGCCTCTCCCCATGTCATATGCTGTTGGCTGTTAGTTTATTGTAAATGATTTATATCGGATTAAGATATAAAGTCCTTCTATATCTATTTTCTTGAAAGATTTTGTTCTTTTTTTTTTCTTTTTTGAGACAGTCTTGGTGTACAGTTCAGGCTGGTCTTAAGCTCACGGCAGTCCTCCTGCCTTAGCCTCTCAAGTGCTGGTGTTACAGGCGTGTGCTACCACACTCAACTTTCTGAAAGTTTTTAGTGTGAATGAATGTTGGATTTTGTCAGAGGCTTTTTCTGCATTAATTGAAGTAATCATGTGATTTTTGTCTTTGCTTCTGTTGATGTACTTTTATTGACTTGTCATATAGTCTTAGTTTTTTTGGATCTTGTTGCTGCTAAGAAAATACCCAACACTCAAAGGAGTAAGGGTTTAATATAGCTCACAGTTTATAGAGATTTCCGTTCAGAATTGGCGGTTCCAAGGTGAAGGGGGCGTGGCAGAGGAGAAACAGTTCATGACCGGCAGAAGGCAGGCAGCAAAGCAGTGAGGTAGTGCAGCAGCAAGTGACTGCAGAAGCCTTCTTTCTGCCTCTGTTATTCCATCCAGGATGCAGGATTCTCAGCCCAGGTGGGGCTTCCCATTGTCTGTACCTAGAACTGTGCCAAACTAATCAGCCCACTAATTCGGTAACCACACACCCTTAGCCTCAGCCACCACCTCTGAAAGCCCCACCTGTGACCACATGAGGCTTTGAGGGGACATCTAGACACAGGCCTAACACAGCCATCCCTGTTTCCCTGGGGTGAATCCTGCTTGGTCGTAATGACTCATTGCACTCTGTTTGCTAGTATCTATCCTAGTGAGGATTTTTATGTCTATGTTCTTTAGAGAAATTGTCCTGTAGTTAGTTTTCTTTTTTGGTCGGGT